GTTAGAATTAATGACTTAATCATTGTAATAATCATTATCTGAACATACAACCTTAGAGGCTCTGTGTTGTGTTTTTCTTTTTCTTTTTTTCTTTTCTTTTTTGCTTCCTGATGCTCTCTTTTTATTCTCATTCAATAATGACCAGCTCCATTGTTTTGTTTGTTCAGGGTTTCTGTGGCAACGCCGTGGACTGGATTTATGACTAGAAAGGACTTTATAAAAAAACACATGAAAATCCTAATTTTATATGTTTTTCCTCGTGGGGAATATGTTTTTGTTACATTTTTGAAGCTAATGAACATCCTGTAGTAAGYAATGTGTTAGCAGTGTGTTAATGTGCTTAGATAAAGCTGCCTGATGTGTTTTTAAAAGGGGAAGTCATTTCAATGATAACCTAATTCAAACTCAATTAAAAGCCTGCAACATAAATTAAATTAATCTTCAAAAGTGCTATTAAAACATTTTCATTTAAAAAAATCAATAAAAAAAGAAAAAAAAGCTGTGACAGGAATAAAATTTTTTATCTGTGTTTTAGTTGCTAAACACAGTCTTTGCTGTTAGAAACAAAACTAGTTAGATTAAAATATTTCATACCTTAGCATTTCTTTCATTCTAATTTGCAAAAGCAGTTTAAAGCCATGTGGCAACCAAATTGAAATAGACTTAATCCAAATGTTTTCTGCTTTTGAAGACCATTGAAATTTTTCTCTGTTTCATTACATTAAGTGCTTCATTTCCTGCTTTATGAACAGACAAGCAAGATAATATAAGAAAAATCCTACGCAAAGATCTTGCAGTGTGTTCAGATCTGATTCTCAGTTAATACATCAACACCAAATTTTATCTCAATATCTGGAAAATTCACTGAGTTTTTTCCATTTCTGTATTAACAAATGTTGATTAGTGGTGGTGGCCATCTTGACCTATAAACGATAACACACCCTAAACATAAATGTTAAAGTTTATTCAGTTTTTCTGTCTAGATTGTAGGCTGTAAATGTTTCCAGTAGTTACACGTCACAATGGTGAGAGGCAGCTCAGCTCGAGGTGCCTGCCTGGGTACATCCAGTTCTGAAACGATCCARTCCACGTCCCACTTTTTCATTTTCACACTTTGTCTCTGGGACAAAAAGATCTGATGAAGTCTGACAGTTTTAAACTAGCTTGGCTCATTTTTAGAAGATCCTGCAGGCTGTAGAAAAAGATTTAAGAAAGCCGTTATTTTAGTTTTAAGTGGAAAGGTTGGAGAAGGTTAACTCTCAGTGCACAGGGAGAAATAAGTACACTAATTGAAAACTAAAAGTGGGAGTAAGTCTGAGTACCAACTAGCATTTTGGTGGTGKTGGGGTAATCATGTAATTATGTGTGGGATCTAATCATGAATATAGAGCACCTCATAATTGTACAATGCATTTGGCTTCAAGATCCCTTTTGGAAAATRCGTCCCTCTGTTGACAAAAGGCATGTTGACTTGTTCTTTTGAAGCTGGAGCTGCTGCACTGTTTGCAGCAGGTTTTGATGAGGGAGTTTCAGGTCTGAGCTGAAGGATCATCTATTCTGGTGTGGGTTTGTCACAGGAGCAGGGCGGCTGACACTGATGGATCGATCAGAGAACAGACTGAAACACGTCGGTTATTTCTGCTGCAAGCATCAGCTGGGAAAGAGATGTGATGCTCGTTGTGGACTGTGATGGATATAAACATCCAGTTCTTRTTAAACTTAACCTCAGATTGAAGCAGTAGAGGAAAGTAGTGTACTCTAAAAGTGAAGAGCTGATTATTTACCCTTCAGTTCCCACTGGAGAGCACCTAAAGTCCTGCCTGTGAGCCTGCTGGATCACAGWTCACTTCACTAAAGTCCACATGGTTTTATATGGATAACTTGGGATTTTGTTTTATTGTGCATTATATTTGTTTACTTATGTTTTTGTTTTAGTTCRTGTAATTATTTCAAAAAGTAGTGATTCGCAGTACTAACAACTACTTACTGTCCTTTTATTAACCAGCAGACTTGGTCACATCATGTTACGTTGCCTTTGGATTTAAGGTTTTTAAAGTTCTATTTTATGTTTTTTTTCTCCTGTGCCCGTGCACTTTGGTCTTTTTTTATGACAAATACAACATTTTTGTTGTGGGCGTATTTAATGTAGTTTCTTTGTGCAAATWAATTAGATTATATATGTCAAATTCAAGGCCCACAGACCTCATCTGGCCCTTGTTAACACTTTATCCAGCCCTGAAATGTTTCTTTAAATGTAAAATAACTTTATGGTTTGTCTTTTTGTCACTGGATTTAGTGCACTCTTTTAATGACAGCTGGCCAAGTTTCGAGCGAAAAAAATGAAGTTTGAATTTGTCAGTAAATTTATGATTCTGGTGAGAAAAAAGCAAGAGAATCAACTTTATTTTTTCTGTGTTCGTTTCTTATTTTTAAGTCTAATATTAGGATTCTTAGTTTTTTTCCCTCATT